CGAGCTACTGGGTCACGATGCGTTGTTGGGCCGCTTGGGCCGTGCGCCGGATGGTGCCAATAGCTCGGCGCATTGTCCCGCCGTGCCGAGGTTGGGCCCGTGGCGTTGGCTGACACGACGCTGACGTGTCGGACCCCACGATCCACCGTGTCGCCGTCGACCAGGGTCGTCCGTGACGTGGCAAGACCTCGGCGTCGTGTCAGTCGACGCCGACCCTCATACCTCGGCGTCATGTTCTAAGACGCCTAAAAATGGTCTATTTTCAGAAAACGTTTTGGCGTAGATCTTTTTGTAAAAAATATTTTCAAAAGGATCAAAATACAAAAATTTCACTGGAAATGAAGGGAGGAAGAAGGAACTGACAGCCAGGACCCACTAGCAGTGACCAACAGAGAATGGGAGTTGACGGGAAGCTGCTACCGTCGTTGGGCTGAGAAGACGGAGGTGTCCAAGTCCACGCTGGCACACTGAAGTTACTGTTTTTGAGATATTTTCGTAGTTGGTATCACATCATCGAAGAGACGGTCACCTAAGAGTGGCAAATAATTACAAAATCCCTTCTCAATAGGATGTCGCAAACACCCTTGTCCTGCCATGTTCTATCCTTTTGGCTTTCTGAGTGCTGTCTTTTCCACAAGGGGCCCAATGGCTTTCGGCTTCTTTTCCAACGTTTCTACGAGAAAACGTTTCGCTCCAAATGATGTCACATGTGAATTTAAGTGTCCGCACGAAAACGACAATCATTTGGGCGCACTAACCCTATCTGCGGTTTTCATAAAAATACATACATGCAAATCCCATTCCAAGACCCCAAATATTAACCACATTGATTTTTTTTCATACACACCGTCCACCTCTCTCTAGCTCTCATATAAAGTAAGAATTAACATCTTCTTAATAAAAAACAGCGGCTATCAAATTACTAGTACGAAAGAAGAACGTAGCAAAGCCACAGTTGTAGCAAAATTTGCCTAGTCCTTTTTGGCCCTTGTTTAGTTTCTTCTAAACTTCTAAAAAGTATACTATGTAAAAAGAAGATTTCCGTCACATTAAACTTGCGGTATATGCATGGAGTACTAAATATAGATAAAATAAAAAACTAATTGCACAGTTTGCTTTAACTTTCGAGACGAATCTTTTGAACCTAATTAGTTAATATTTGGACAATAATTTATAAATACAAACAAAATACTATAGTAGAGAATCTTTACTACACAAACCAACTAAACATCCCCTGGCTACTTGTACTGTGTGGAAGTAGTACAAACCACAATAAACTTTTGTCTTTGGAATTGGTAGAAAGAACCAATGCAGCAGCACAGAAGAACCAGAGTTTCTTTCTTTAATTTTTCTTTTCTGTTTCATGGTCACGGTCACACCAAACTTGCCCTGTTTCTTCCCCAAATTCCGCAATTCAGTTTGACGCCTTGATTTGCAACTTTTTTACAGGACAAAAAAATAACCAAAAGACCAAATGCAGCCATGCCCAAAATTCAGAACCGATGGCCTTGCCTTCTTTATCCAACACCGCCGTTTTTGTCACATTCAAACATGTATGATGCATCTACATCTACAGATTCTACACAGCAAACGCAGGGACCCAGACCCAACCAGTGGCCACTGAGCTGCCGCATTTTACGTATGGACACCCATGTGTCGAATGACACTGTATCAGCCTCCAACAGAACATTTATATGCGAGATCTATTTTGGGTTACAACAAAGCCATAATCTAAATATGAGTATTCTCTCTCCTAAGAAACTCATTTATAAAAATAGTTCTTTTTTAATCCGGTCATTGAAAAAGACAAAAAAAAAGGTATAAAATATTTGCCTGCAGCGCTATCCAAACATTAATGCCTTGATTAGTTTCTAAAAAAATTTTCCAAAAAAGTGCTACAGTAGCCATCACATCGAATCTTACGATACGTGCATGGAACATTAAATGTAGACGAAAAAAACTAATTACACAGTTTTGTTGGAAATCACGAGACGACGTTTTGAGCCTAATTAGTTCATGATTGAATATTAATTACCAAATAAAAACGAAAATGCTACAGTAACCTAAATTTCCCAAATTCATGAACTAAACCAGGCCTAAAATAAGTCTTGTATTTTGTGTAATGTTATTGAGATACCTAGCCACTCGTATCTGCGATGGTTCGCGTCAAACAGGACCAATGCTAGACAAGTCTTGTGTTACTGCTACTACTTGCACCAGCAGGCAGCAGCACCATTTTCTCTATCTTCTTCTTTTAAAAAAACAAGTTCTTTTATTTTCACCGAAGAAATTCAATTCTTTCAGTAAATATTGGGAAAAAAAATCGATGAATGTAGAGTGCCTTGTTTATTCTGAATAAAACTGTCTTCAACAACCACGACTTAAAATATAAGATCAATTCATCTTTCGGGTAGCGCTACATGCAAATGGTTTAATAATTATTTTTTATTTTCTCCAATAACAAGACTCAAAAGACAATCCTCTCTACAAATGAGTCTTCAGAAGAGAGGATACTCAGATTTAAGTTATATCTCTTCTCATATCTAAAATAAATCTTTCATATAGATATGATGTTTGGTTTCCACGATGGAAACGTTGAGTTGCTTTGCACAATGAAGATCCGTGTGTACCCTCGCTAGGATTCATATAATGCAAGCAAAAGAACACGGAAGGATAAAGCGATGCGTGCCATCGAGCAGATTCGTTTCGCTTTTTCCGCCGTTTACGATATTAAAGTTAACTGATAAATCAATTAAAAATATTTTATTGTAAAACAAAAATACTATATAACTGATAAGCCGCTGATAAGGTTAAGCGAACAAACCTGTAAGGCCAAGACGAGCACCGCAGACGCGCAGAGACAGACACAGAGAGGCGGCCGACCGGCGACGCGGATCGACCTCAATCGGTAGGCAGCCGTTGCTTGGCGGCCGGGGCGGCCACCATCATAGCTCTTGCCGGCTTCCTCCTGCAGGCCTGGTCTAGATTCTAAATTTTTTCACTCTCTCTTCATCATATTAAATCTTTGAACATATACATAGAGTATTAAATGTAGATAAAAAAATAACTAATTATATAGTTTAATTATAAATTACGAGATGAATCTTTTGAGTCTAGTTAGGCCATGATTGGACAATAATTATCAAATACAAACGAAAATGCTACCGTATAGAATACTGATTCTCAACCTTCATCTAAGCCCTTGTTTAGTTCGCGAAATTTGGATTTTGGGATTACTGTAGCACTTTCGTTTTTATTTAACAAATAGTGTTCAAACATGGACTAATTAGGCTCAAAACGTTCGTCTCGCAATTTCTCATTAAATTGTGTAATTAGTTTTTCTTTTCGTCTATATTTAATGCTCCATACATAGACCGTAAACATTCGATATGATAAGTACTATAGTAACTTTTTAAAAGTTAGGGTAGAACTATAGTTTTCCAAGCTGGGCGAGCACGCGGGGACGATCGAACACTAGAAAGCACGCCCAAAGCACGGCCCAAGCCCGGCCGCGTTCGCCTCCACCGTGCCTGCACATGGCCCGACCTTTAGTGCCGTGCGGGCCGCAATGTCGGCCCGTGGGCTGGCCCGGCACGACGCGGCTAACGGCCGCACGATGGTGGCCCGTTATTCTCTGCCGTTGGATGATCACTAGATAAGCGTAGCCGTTGGATTGAGCAGTAAGTATATAAAACATCACTTCCTCGTACCAAACCCTAACTTCCTATCTTCTTTTCCTCTCTTTTCATCACGCTTCGGGCGGCGCAGAAACGTCCGAGCGGCGAAAGCGATTGTGGTTGGGGAGTCTTATACGGGCGCGCGCGTCCCTGAAGGCAAAGCAACGGACGGTGTGTCGGGCGGCCCCCCCACGCGGGCGGCGGCGCGTATCACGCGCGCGTCCCCCCAGCGGTGGCGGCGTGCGTACGCATCGATGCGTTCCACACGCGGCGGCGCGGTGGCTGGAAGCGAACGGAGGCGGCGAATCGTGGCTAGGCGGCGTTAGCGCGACGGCGCGGTGGGTGCTCGTCCTCGACGGTGGTGTCTGCGGCGATACGTCCATGACGACGGAGTCGCTGAAACGAGCTTCGTGCTAGCACGGGCACAACGGACCGGCGTGCCCATCGACGCACGGCACGCAGGCTGAGCCTCCATAGGGCCGTGCTGGGCGAGAGGTGAGCACGGCGGCGCTTCGCGCTGCTGCCGGCGTGCTGATAGCTATTGCCGTGCCGTGCCGCCCGTGCTGCGGCGTTCCTCCTGCGTGCGGCCCGGTTGGCCATCTATAGGTAGAACTAAACGAGGCGTAAACAAGGCCGCAGTTATGCTGCCGGCTGCTGCCCTGCTCCCGTTTCCCTTCCCGGCGCGCTGCTCGCCTACTCCTGCCTTGGAATGTCGCCCTGCACTGCACTGAACTGCGGCCTAGCCTAGCTTCTTCTACAGCTAGTAGGAGTAGAGCGCAGGCAGCCAGGGACCGAGCTGCGACTGCTGCGAGCTGGAGTAGAGAGAGAGTGCGGGCGAGGTCAGAACGGAACAGAGAGGAGCTAGCTAGCTACTGTAGCTCTCAGCTGTCTTTCCGTGCGACTGGACCTTGCTCACCTGCAGCTTTGAATGCGCAGGGCTCGGCCGTCCGGTCGCAGCTCTCAAAGCCCTCGAGCTCTTGTCCCTTGCTCGCAAAACCTTGCCGCCTTTTGGTCACCTCGGGCACCGCGAGCTAGGCGCAGCACCTGTGCTGTGCTTGCTTCTGTCCTCTCCTGACTCCTCTCCTCTCACCGCTCTCCTCTCCTCTCCTCTCGCTGGCCTGCCAGGCTTTCCTCCCCGGTCGCCATCCCATTTTTATATTTTATATATCCCCCGTTCCTCTCCCTGCTGGTCCACTGCTCGCTACTCTGCCTGCTTCTGCTTGTGAAGTTGTGAGCTGTGCGACCTTCTCCTGACCCGTGACCGTGAGCTTCCTTCCGTTCCTTGTGTTGGTGGGGGTGACCTTGAGGGACGCGGCGGCGATCATGGCGTGGTGCGGCCCCCTCGGAGCCGGAGACGCCGGGGACAGCGGCCTCGAGCTCAGCCTCGGCCTCCCGGCCTACTTCGCCAAGCCATCAGGTTTAGTAGTCTGCCAGGAACCAGTACACTTCTTGTTTTCTGTTGCAAATGGCTACGTAGCTCAAAAATTTTGATCTTTGGTGGTGGCTCTCAGGTTTGGACGCCGCCGGCGAGGAGTCCGGTGAGGTCTCTGCTTTTGCTCTCCAGGCTGCCAAAGGGAGCAATGGCTCAAAGGCAAGGTTGGTACCGTGTGTTGTTTCTCTATTCACTTTCTTTCTGAAAGAGAAAGATCAAAATTTGATGGCCGTTCAACCCTCCGGCAGGGTCACGGCAGCAGCCGCGGCGCCGGTGGTGGGGTGGCCGCCGGTGCGGTCGTTCCGGAGGAACCTGGCCTCGTCCTCCTCCAGGCCATCGCCGCAGTCGTCGTCGGGTCACCACCGTCACCACAAGGTTCACGACGGCGGCGCTTTGGACGGCGCGCACAAGGGCGGCCTGTTCGTAAAGATCAACATGGACGGCGTGCCGATCGGGCGCAAGGTGGACCTCACGGCGTACGGCGGCTACGCCGACCTCTCCGCCGCCGTTGGCAAGCTCTTCCGCGGCCTGCTCGCCGGTACGTATGCCCACCCACCCGCCGCGTCTCCTCCCTCTAAGAACGGCGGCGCCGTACTGCGTATGTGACCATGTGCATGCATGTCCGTCCGTCGTCTCATCTTTTCTTTTTCTCGATCTCGCAGCTCAGAGGGACCCGGCCGCGACGGCGGGTGGCGAGGCGGAGGAGGAGGAGCAGCAGGAGCCCGTGATCGGCGGCGACTACACGCTGGTGTACGAGGACGACGAGGGGGACAGGGTCCTTGTCGGCGACGTCCCCTGGGAGTAAGTGGAAACGGCACCAAGATCCCCCGCTCCCACAGTCCCACTTGCACAACACAACACGTCCGCGTCACCATGGTCAATTTCATTCGAATTCGCATCTCACGTGCCCGAGTGCCGTCCATGTCCGCCGCAGGATGTTCGTGGCCACCGCCAAGAGGCTGCGCGTGCTCAAGAGCTCCGACGTGCCGGCCTCGTCGGTGAGTCCTCACCTGCCCTGACCGCCCGTTCCGGCGAGCGAAGCTTTCGCTCGGCAAGCGCACATTTTTCCACCTGCGAAACCGATGAATGAATTGACACGCATGTCGTTATCTCTCTTGTTTTGCAGCTGAGAGCAAGGGGCAGGAAGAGGGCTGCAGCCGACTGCTGAAACGTGCTCTGCTGCATCACGTGCTTGTAAAAAGGCCCAAGTGGAGGAGACGACGAGTGGCCTGGGCGCCTGGCCCTGGCCCTGGCCCTGTCCCTGGCCTTTTTTTGCTGTCTTTCTGCTAGTAGTACTAGCAGTGTTGGGTGCCAGTAAGTAGGGAAGGAGGAGCATATGGGAACAAAGTAATGACGGTATTAAGGTCATGTAGTGCAAGATTAGCAGTGGTAGTAGTACTCCTGGGTGTTAATGAATCTATGGTCTTTGTTTTGGGGTATATTTTGACGGTTTAAAGCTTACTATGTATGCACGCGTCAAATTTCGGTGTGTTGTGCTGATCTCACACGAACGTGTTTCTGCGTGACCTTGACAATGACCGTGATACGTGCTGATCTGAGTTCTGACGATTTCTGAGTTGAAATCTGAACTTGAACTCTGTTTCGCCAAAACCACTGACCTGCTTCCTAAATCCTGATCGTTCGAATCGAGATCGTTCTACTTCTATTGCAGACTCTGGGCCGGTTTCCTTCATCGAACTCGGTCCTCGCCCGTTTATAAGGCCCAACAGGCCAATACTATCCCGGCCCAACTAACCGTACCAGACGGGGACGGCCCATCGTGCTGGCACGAATCTCTGCGCTGTTTCGCACGCCCCCCGTTCTTTCCTCTTCTCCAAACCGAGGTGCCCCTGCCGTGCTCCGTCGTTGCTTCTTCATTGCTGCACAAGCACAACTGATCTGATTCCGTTCTAAGGTGCGTCGTCGCGGCACCCTCTCCAACCTTACTTCGTGATCTCGCTTCCTTCGCCTTGCGGTTTCCTTTCGATCGGCGCGGCGGGGGTAGGTTTATTCTCCCTTGCCTTGCCGTGTGCTGTTCCGCGCTTCGGTTTTCCGTTTCGTGTCCATTGGCGGAACAGGGGACGCGCGCAGGTTACCCTCCTCTAGTTTGTCGGATTTGTTTTTTCGTATAAAGATGGGTAACGCGAAAAGCGAAGCAGCAGTTATTGCTGGGATTTGTGTTCATAGCCTTGTTGTTACATCTTGTCTGAGAGGCATATGTTGTGGCATCAGAGATTGGAGTTGATATATTATGATAGTATATCTTGTTTGAGTGGTGGTGTGGTGAGATGGAATTACAGATGGTTGCGGGTTGCCCACCTTGTTTGATGTAACGTCTTGTAAAAAATTGGGTAAAGAGATAAGAGAAACAACCATTGCTGGAATCTATTTTGATACCTTTGCTGCATAGTCGCAGTTAAGGCCATCTTAACGCCATAAGGAAGCCTGCAATAGGGTAACTGAAGTATTTTGATCACTATTCAGGATGGTAGCGTCATTGGGTGTCCCTGCAAAGGGTGGGTTCAGCTTCGATCTGTGCGCGAGGAATGATCTGCTGGAGAACACGGGCCTCAAGATTCAAGATTCCCGTTTTCAGAAAGACCGGGACTACAATTGTCGGTCTAGTTTTTAAGGTATGTCCGGGATATCCCATGTTTTCTAGGCATTTTCTCTCTCTCTCTCTCTCGTGGCCGGCATATTTTTTTTTTTTTGTATTAATAGGGAGAAATGAGTTTGATTATAATAATATAACGCATGCCCGAGCGTGGACATGCTTGTTGCCGCAGCCACAACCGATTGTTGACATGCCACAATGTCATGACATAGTAGTCCCTGCCAGTGGGCCAGGGTTGTCAGAGAAGATGGTGCGGGCGTTGCCGGTCGGCAACCGCCCTGTAGCGTGTCCGGCAATATAAGCCGTCGAGTCCCTCCTGTGAAAGACAGGCTGTAATAACTGAATTCTGTTATCGTTCTATCCAATACAGCCCCGCGGACATCAGCCGCGTTCCTCCAATTCCCACCTCGTGCTTGCTTCTTCCCCGAATTCCATCTCTTCTTACCAGGATCGTTACATTTGGTATTGAGAGCCTCGTTGATTCGGGGGAAATCTTTTCGCCGAAGCCTTCGCTCTGGCGCCGAAGAAGAAGATCACCAAGTTTCAAGCGGAGATGACGACATCGACTGAAGACCTCAAGGCATCCATGGAGGCCATGACGAAGCAGTTCGCGGGACCCCAGGACATGGCGAAGCAGTTCGCCGGGTTCCAGGATGCCATGACGACGATGCTGGACAAGCTCAACGATCTCGAAGCATGGCGGACGGTCGCGGGGCGTCGATGGGCTCGATGATGTAGAAGTCTACGGAGGCGGTGAACCGGATCCAGTAGCTGGAGACTCGGCCGCCGCCACCACCTCCACCCCCGCCTCCGCCACCGCCGATGCCCCAACCGGTACCCCAGCCGCCTCACCCGAGCGCACCGCCTCTCTACGACACGGTGCAGCTTCCATAGGGCGCGCCGATCCGCTATGACACAGTGCAGTTCCCATCGGGCGCGCCACCCTGCTATGGCATGGCACCGCCCCAGCTGAGTGCTCCGCCACGCTACGACGTGGTACCTGGTGGGTTCAACTTGAACACCATCCCCGCACTCTCGGCGTCGAGCTCGCAATCGCCCCATGGGCACGACTTGCGCAACGATTACCGGGTTGCTGGCGAGGGGATCCTCGAATACCCCCCGCCGCACCCGGTCACGGGTATGATTCCTTTCAATCCCACTCCGATTCCTACCAATTCTACTCCAGAGTTCGTTCCATATGAGGGCGAGGGATCTGCTATTCATCGCTCGTCTCATGGCTTCAAGATGGATGTGGCAGAACCGCCTAATCTAATGTCGCCCAGGAGTACTTGTCTTCCATTAGACACTAAGTACTCAAGGGAAGATACTAAATTACGCAATTCCGTCGAGCACACCCCAAGAGAGAACCCGAAAATTCACATTTTTCCATCAGGATCAGAAATGAGAGAATAAAGCTTACATCATTATTAACCATTTCTTACATCACTTTTAATACGACCTCAGAGTTATGAACAATTTAATTTAACAACGGAATATAAACATGTGATCAGACTTTTAGCGGAATTAAATACCTATTAATAACATGAGGAAGCATTGATATATAAACTATGACACAGATTATAAAACTTTCATTTTATAAAAACATTTAATGAGAGTTATAAATAAAAACTATGATCGCAACGTAAAGGAATCATCTCTGAGCCTACCAGGAGGAATCCACACCCAAGAGTTAGCTCTAGCATCCGCCTGTCACCTGCAACAGGAGGAAATAAAACCCTGAGTACTCAATTGTACTCAACAAGACTTACCCGACAGGAGAAAAGATATGCAAGGCTATCTGGCTTGTGGGTTTATTATATCCGTAGGAATCATTACTAAGCGTGCGTCCTTATATTCAATTTTATTAGCAGTCAGCATTAGTTCATTAACTAACCATTCTATGTAAGCACCCGTGCTACTTTCAAGCAGGTGGTAAGCAATCAAAATCATTTTATCATCTTTCATCTTCCAGTTCTTACTATGGTGCAAGATTATAGACAAGTCGTACCGGATAGCCGGTGATTCGAGAATCAATGTGCCAAGCTGGGTACCCTGAAACACAAGCCTCACTTGTACCCCAGACACAAGCAGGACCAACTCACTACCCTCCTGTCATGGGGTCCAGGTCCCCATCTAAACTTGGACTCCAAGCCCCCGCTCCTGAGTCCCGGACTCAGTGCGGTGCTTAGACCTCCACCATACCCGTCTCCAATTAGTCGGTCCAAAAAGAGCCGAAACCCACAACAATAGAGAGCAATGAGTCTTCCTGCGCCCATACACAAGTACGTGTTCAGGATAATAAGTCTGTGACCTGCCTAGAACCCAATGCAACGGTCGGTCCTTAACCGACATAGGTGGAACAAATGCAATCCGAGCCTCGCTCGAATGCCAAACTAAGTCCAGATCCAAAGTACCATTCCGCCTGGTCTCCAATTATATATATATATATATATATATATATATATATTCAGTGATAATAATATAGTAACAACAATAATATATTTTTATCTCTCGCGAGTGACAGGCAATCACTCGACTTCTACCGAAGTCCTGTAGCATAGCAATCTACACGATCCTATCATGCTAGTAAGACTCATAGGATAAAGATATATATATGCAAATGGGTTTCATTCAACTCCTTAAAACTTAATGCACAGACATAATATAAAGTGCAAAAAAGTAGGGGTTATGCACCGAGGCTTGCCTAGGTAACATATAACCAAAAGTTAGTATTCTATTTTGGTGACACGATCTTCAAAAGTACCATCTCACCAGCAACTCCTAATGACTCAGCGATCCATCATCGTCCCTATTATGATATGCAATGCGATGCAGAGATGATACAACAGTTAATTAATAAGGCAACAACAACACTTAAAACCGAGCACATACTACGAACTAACAAGCTAGCTCTAATGACTAACGTACTAATCTATGTATCAACATCATCGAGAAAGATGTCATTTTCCAATAAGTGTTTTAGTTATACAATTCCAAGGTGTTTCTTTATTTTATTCTATCGATTTAATCTTTATTCGAAATAGGGCACCATTATCTATCTAGCAAACTAATTATTCTCGAGCTACAAAAATTACAGTGAGCAGCTAATAATATTAGAAAATTACTGTAAAATTTTCAGAGTCAACACTATCACCATTTTTCACAAAAATTCCCACTAGTTCACATTTTAACAATATTAAATATTTTAAAATAATTAGAGCAACCCTGAAAATATTTTAAAACTAGATGAACCAAATACGCTAATAGATAGATCATGATTTTAGGAGCCTAACAAAATTGGTTTGACATTTTTGTGATTTTTCAACATTTTATTATCAATTTCCAAGCATTCAACCGCTTACTGAAATTAACAAGACACCGAAAAAGAAAAAAGATTCCTTGGGCCCGAAGCGGCCTAGATCGGCCTGGTCCAACGGGCAAAGCAAAAGCAGCAGCCAGGGGGGAGCGCACATACCATAGTAGGTGTGGCCTACAACAATGGCCAGCGCGCCCTAATCTTGGCGCGGGCGTGAGCGGCCCAGACGGGGCAGGCG